TTATTGTGTATAGGTCGTGGATGAGTGATCTTTACCGGTATTAGAAACTTTCGACAATGCCTTGACTTACAAGAAATATAAGAAAAGGTGAAAATGTCATGTCAAAGAATCATTTGAGTTTTGAATTGGCAAAAATCTCTTGAATAAGAACAATAGTATACCGAACTATGCATTCTCCTATAATCACCATCTCAACATTGACCCCGTTTAGTAGAGTTGTGGAAAAGTGATTATAGATTATAACTTAACAGATTATGGCTTATAGCTGTGAACATAAACTGTTAATCTGTTTGGTGCAGTTGTAAGATTATGGATTTAAGCAGCAGAGTAGTGTTTGGTTAATAAACTATAAAATAATTTTTTATTGTATAATTGTTCTTTCTGCCCTAATATGATATAAAAATGATTATTTTGTCATTTTTTTCAGTTTTAATTTTAAAAAAATTATTTCATTAATAAAAGTTAATATAATTAGTATTTTTTTTAATTAATATAAAAATATACAATATGAATTTATTAATAATTAATACCAATTAATATTTATTTTTTAATTAATATTGATTTTTTTCTTTTTCTTTCAGAAATATAGAATTTTTATTTTTTAATTAATATAAAAATATACAATATGAATTTATTAATAATTAATACCAATTAATATTTATTTTTTAATTAATATTGATTTTTTTCTTTTTCTTCAGAAATATACATTTTTTTCTTTTTTAATTAATATTAATATTAAAATTTGGGTATTGACGAGAGAATTTAAGTAATTTTAGTCCCCCCACACCAATTGCGCGCTTAAGTCGAAAATTTAAACACCCCCTGAACAGCTTTTGAGATAAGCTAAGAAATAACTTAATTTAAGCTATATGCTGGTTAACTTAAGCTGCACCAAACTGTTGGCTACATATTTTGTAAAAGCCAGTTACAGTTTGACACGTGGCAGAGTAAGGGTAATAAAGGAAGGTTATTCAAGCCTTCAATCCTGATCGTATACGTGGCAATAAATATTGGTTCTCACATGATCTGAGTAACACTAGATCGATAACGGGATGCAAGCTGACATAGCTTCAACGGTTACTCATATTCAAATTCAAATACAAGAGGGAAGCTCAACTGCCAGTAATGACGTAATGGAGCTACTTATAAGGAAGCATGATCAGCGATCATGGAGGAGCAGTTCGACGGTTCGAAGTACAGTTCGAAGGTCATCACTGACGAGTATAAATAGCAGGGCAGCCCTCAGAAAAAGGGAGGACTCAGATCATACAAATCAGTCATTTACTTCATATATTTTCTTCTCCAGTCTTTTACATTTCCAGTCTTTAAATACCTGCACTTTAAATACCCGTACTGCACTTCGATTCATAGGAGTAGTTTCAAGTAGATTCAAGTGGATTGCTATTGTAAACCTCTCCGAGGCTGAGTTTGGACCGTTGTAAGTGTAATACTTCAATTGTTCTTCATATTACTGTTATTCCTTTTAATTTCTCCTAAGTCAAGCCACCGGTAAAAGTCCTCTTCATTGAGGCTGAAAGAACTAAAACACAATCGTCTGGTAAAGTAATTTTAGCCTCCCACACCAATTGCGCGCTTAAGTCGAAAATTTAAACACCCCCTGAACAGCTTTTGAGATAAGTTAAGAAATAACTTAATTTAAGCTATATGCTGGTTAACTTAAGCTGCACCAAACATAACATTTTAGCTTAAATTAAGCTAAAAACTGAAATAAGCAGCTTGTAAGCCCTATCAAACAGACCTATTGTCATTGGAAAATACAAATTACAACATTCATTTCAATCTCATAATCAACACTGTCATTATGTCATTTCAATCTCATAACCAATATCTTTCAAAGATAAAGGGCTTGTTTCGTTTGTTTTTGGAAGAGTTGTTTTTGAAAAAAAATTTGGGGAGAGAGTTTAGAAATTTTTTTGGTTTGTTTGGCTATATATTTTGGGAGAATTGTTTTTTTGGGAGTTTGGGATGATTTGATATTTTGGGAGAATTTGAGTAGATGTGTATGAGAGAAAAAGTAATTGAGAAGGAGAGAGGAGAAAGAAAAAATGATTGATTGATGTGTAAGAGAGAGAAAGTGATATTGAAAATTTTTTGAGAAAAACTCAAACCAAACAATTTTTTAGAAATTTTTTTGTAAAACTCATCTCCTAAATACAAACTAAACATACCCGAAATGTTCTGTTCAATCATTTCTATCTTCAACATAAGACCCTTGTTCTCCATTTTTTTTTTAATATTCTGCTCCTCTAGGGTGTGAGCAAAGTGTTATTCCTTTGTCTGGTACAACAATGTTCACAACCATAAATTTCTTTTTTAGGCAATATTCAACATACAAGCATAAATGTCATCGAGCCTCTGTTTTCGAAATTGTGACATCATTTATAGAGCAATGTTCTGGATTTTTAGGGGTACTTTCGTTTGTCACACCCATGATTTTGGAGAAAGCGGGTTGCTTAGGAGTAGGTAAAACCATTGATTCATTGGTAAGCATTAGGGATGGCAATGGATAATCTATCTTGTGGGTATTTATAGAGACTCAACCCAAATATATGGGTTTTTCTCTCTTTTTCTTATCCATTGGGTAGGATAGGTGATATTCTTTAAATATCCATAGGGGATGGGTTGGGGATGAGTACCCACTAATTTCCTCATATTTTGTTGTTTTTTTTTTTTTTTTTTTTTTATTTTTTAAAGATTCACAACCAAACTAAATATACATTCAATCTTTTTCTTTTATTATTTATTTATTTTTTCAGGTTCACAACCAATTTTTTTTTTTTTTTTTTTTTTTTTTTAAGATCCACAACCAAAGTTAAATATATCTCCAATCTTTTTATTTTTATTTTTAAGGTTCACAACCATTTTTTTTTTTAATTTTTAAGATTCACAACCAAAGCTAAATATACATTTAATTTTTTTCTGTTTTCAAATTTTTTTTTAAAGGTTTACAACCAAACCAAAACAAAATTATATATATTCATTATTTTTTTTTATATTATTTTATATTATTATTTTTAAGATTCACAACCAAGCTAAATTATATTAATTTAATTTTTTTTTATTTTATTTTAAGGTTCACAACCAATTTTTTTAGATTCACAACCAAAGCTATACATTCAATCTTATTTTATTTTATTGCTCAACAATAAAATCAATACACATATAACATTGTCACATTATTCTTGTCAAATTTTATGCATATCTAGAATTTTTTAAATTTATTTAAAAAAAAAAATTAGACACTGTCTAGTGTAGGTTCGGTTTGCTTTTCTATGTTATTTTATTTTGTTGTGTATTGTAATTTTTAGAATGGTTTGCTTGTTCTGAAATTTCAATTAACGAGTATGAATCTATTTGTTTTATGTTATCACACAATTTATACAACATTATATATATATATATATATATGAATGTATTTGAAAATAAGGAAATTGTAGAGAATCAAAACAAGCATGAGTTGTGATTGGTTAGAAATGATGGGTACAAAGATTTATTTGCTAGAAAACAAAAAGGGATACAAAGTCATACTAAATAATTTTTTTAAAATTAAAAGAATTTTTCTTAGTTATGAACAGATTTAACTGAAATCAACTTGTTTCCCAATGTTATGCTTCATTATTTAGATAGAAATATTTTTTAATGAAAAATATTTTTTATAAAAAAATTCAAAATATATTTTTTTATATTTGTGGTAGTGGTGATGGAAACGAAGGTGAAAGTAGAAATTGTTACATAGTGCTGGGGTGATGGCGGCAGTGATGATGGTAGTGGCTATTGGTGATGGTAATGTGACAGTGAAAGTGAGAATAGTGGTGATGGTGTGTGAAATTAGTAAAATTAATTGAAAAAATATTTTTTTTGTTTTTTAAAAGTAACAAACAACAAAATTCGTGAGGGACTAAAGGAAGAAGAAGATGGAGGATGGAGGATGGATTGTGGTGTGGTAATGCATAGATATCTTAAAATGAGTAGTTCAGAATTTGTTAAAGGTTATATTAGATTTTGGATAAATTAAAATGAATTGTTCAAATTTGCTAAGAGAAAATGTTTAATGTCTAAATTGTCCGTGGCTAACAATTCCTTGTTTATGCCCTGATGCAATTTAATATGAGTCTTATAACACATTCTTCAAACAACTTTTTGATTGTCTAAAATTATATATTTGATTATTATTAAAGAAACTTTTAATTAATTAATTAATGTGTATTTGATTTTGTTGTTGAACCAAATAAAATAAAATAAGATTGAATGTATATTTAACTTTTGTTGTGAACCTTAAAAAAATAAAAAAATAAGTTGTTAACATTAATATATAAAAAAGAAAGAAAAAAGATTGAAGGTATATTTAGCTAAAACCTTATAAAAAAAGACAAAAGAAACAAGAAGGTTGTTAACATTAAATATATTAAAAAGAAAGAAAAAGATTGAAGGTATATTTAACTTTTGTTGTGAACCTTAAAAAAAAAAAAAAAAAAAATTGTTAACATTAAATATATAAAAAGAAAGAAAAAATATTGAACGTAATTTAACTTTTGTTGTGAACCTTAAAAAATAAATAAATAAAAAATAAATAAATAAATAAATAAAATTGTTAACATTAAATATATTAAAAAAGAAAGAAAAAAGATTGAAGGTATATTTAATTTTTGTTGTGAACCTTAAAAAATAAATAAATAAAAAATAAATAAATAAATAAATAAAATTGTTAACATTAAATATATTAAAAAAGAAAGAAAAAAGATTGAATGTATATTTATTTTTTGTTGTGAACCTTAAAATAAAAAAAAGAAAAGAAAAAAAGAAGTGGTTGTTAACATTAAATATAAAAAATAAAAATGGGAATTAAAGTGGGTTAGGGAAAATCCATACCCATTAAAAAATAAGGAGAGTAATACCCATGGGGAATGGGGAATAGGGAATGGAGAGAATTTATTATAGGGGAATGGGGATGGAGAATTAATATCCATCCCATTGCCCCCATTGCCATTCCTAGTAAGCATAGACACAACATCTAACATGTTTGGTCTATCGGTTGCAATTTCTTGAACGCACAAAAGACCAACTTGAATGTTTCGCATAGCCTCACTTATGGAACATGCGTCAGCTAGTGCTTGATCCACTAACTCTGAACCCTTTGCCTCTTTCCACAAGTTCCATGCCTAAAAAGGTTCATGAAAATATCATACAAGGTCAGTCTAGGAAAACAAACAGGCAAATTTTACGAAATTGGACTGAATTGCAATTACTCACATATCCTATCAAATTCAAAGCACAACTAAGACGATAGAAACCTGTGTTCCTCTTCTCACTTATAATCTCTAGCATCATAACTCAAAAACTGAAAACATCAGACTTTACAAAAAGAGACCATCCATAGCATACCAGGAGACATGTAACCACTGTTTCCATCATTCAATTGATTTATATTATTATAAAAATCCAATGCATTTGAGATATTTATAAAGAAATTTTATATCTACATATTCGAAAGAGCTATCTCACCTACTATGTCCCAACAATTTTGTTTGTATTTGCTTGATTTTCATTGTCACCAAAAATTCTAGCAGTGCCAAAGTCAGATATTTTTGGGTTCATGTCATTGTCCAATAAAATGTTGTTTGTTTTCAAATCCCTATGAATGATTCTTAATCTAGAGTACTTGTGTAGGTACAATAGCCCCTGAGCAATTCCTCTGATGATGCTGACACGCATTTTCCAATCTAGTAAATGCTGTTTTGTTACATCTGCCACAAAATTTGTATAGAGAAAATAAATAAACATTGGCACACTAGAGACCAAGAACGAAATAAGAAGCTCAATCGACCTAAAGTTAGCGAAGAAACAAACCGAATAAAAAGAAATCCAAGCTTTTGTTTGGCAAATACTCGTATATTAATATTCTCTCATCTTTTTGCATGTAACAACCCAAAAGTCTGACAATATTGCGATATTGTGGCCTTGAGATCAATATAACTTCATTCTTGAACTCCTCTGAACCTTGTCTTGAGCAGCTAGAAAGTCTTTTTATTGCGATTTCTTGCCCATTAATCAACACTCCCTGAAAGTCTAGACTTGTTAATCATCTTACAAAACTCATCAAAGTAGTTAAAAATAAGAGAATTATGTATTCAGAAATACATAGTAATAATTAAAAGATTCACATAGTTAATATAAGAAAGATCTGTGATAATAAATATCTTCGATATTTTGATTGGAAAAAAAAAATATATATATATATATACACATGTAAAATAGTTCTTGAATGGCAAAATAGTACTAATGGTATTAATCCTGATTCTTCGTACCATGTAAGACCATGATAAAAAGGCGAAAAGTAATATTTTCATCCCTAGTGAAAAAAATTATATTTTTACCTTATTTTTTAGGTAGCATGGAAAGAAATATTTTTACCTTATAAACAGGTCCATAACCACCCTGACCTATTTTATTTCTCAGAGAAGTACTCTGTAGAAAAACTGACAAAAGGTAATTCACGATCCCTTTTTCCCCTTAACTTCAGCTTTCCTGCATTGCTTAATTCATCAATAGTTGTCATACAATTATTCAACTCATCCATTAACAACTGCATGCCTTGGACGATCCCATCTTTCTTGCTTCCTCCTGTTTAGCATTGAATTAAAATTATGTTTAGTTTTGTAACAAGAAGTTTGAGATTGGCTTGGAATTCAAATTCTTGGCCTGTCTCAAAATATAGGAGAAAGATACAATACATACCTTTAAAGCAGTGATTTCTCCATCGTAGATAGGACAGTAACAAGACTGAAGTAAGAATTAATAGAGAAGCTACTGGACCAACAATGGTTAACCACAGTTGTATGTTTCTCTTCCTGGCATAATCTGGGGGTATATTATTCACCGTTGCACTCACTGTTTCATTATATGAATATTCTGTAGGAGAAGAAGGGGAAAATTTTAAAGTTAATCAGAAGTTTTTAGATAGCTTAATTAACTACCACTTGAGCTATATGAAGATTTCAGCTCATGAACTGTACCGTGTGTTCTACTAGTGAGCATTGGAGAAACCATCGCACCACTAACTCTTTTCTTTTCTTTTAAAAAAAACACACACACACACACTCTAGGGCTGCAATTTGAGTGTGGGGGAAGGGGAGCCACTAAGCAACAGGGCCAAGTGGCGAGTGGATCAGATAGGAACTTATGAAATTCTCTTGCCCAATGTTACTTCTAGTGAGGTTTGAACCCCCAACCTCTCATATGAGAATGTTGGGTAATGCCATTGAACTACAAGCCCTTAACCACCACAAGCTGTTAGGAATTTGGATGAGTGGTGTTTCCAAGCTGGGAATAGACTTGTAATTCTTTAGAATAATAAGTATAATTACTAGGGGGGGATAGGTCTATCCAGCATCCTTAGCCTAGCCCATTAAATTTGAAGTTTGGCAAATATATATTGAAACACAAGTTTGGACTAGGCTAAAATTTTAAATTTGAATTAAAATTTATGTTGGGCTTGGGCAAAAGCTTGGGGCAACCCGAGCCCTCTCCTTATAATCAAGTTTTAAATTTTTGTTTTTAAATAAACATTTTATGTCAGAAGTGATTTATAATTTATTACAATAATTTAAAAATAAAATAAAATAAGATTGTGGCATTAGAGTATTCTTTGGTTATTGGATTAATGTCACAAGTTATGGCACATTTTGTTTTTAAAAAAAATTATTCTCAAAAGAACTTCATTGGTACAATTAGCCCAACATAAAATAGTCAGTCCTAAAATATTAGTTATAGCCCAAAAGGGATCTATAAAATTAAAAGAGAATTTACGGGCCGATTCTATTGAAATCTATCTTTTGTGGCCAACCCGAGCTAAATTTACTAAGTTTGGTCTTAGATTGAGCTAAACATCTCGGCTTGTGAAGTCGAGCCTAGGCAGCTCTCAACATTATTCAGGTTGAGTTGGGCAAGTTTTTAGACTTAACCAACCCGCTTGACTCATAATCCGAATGATAGCAATAGCAATTATTAAAAGGGCAATTATTAAAAGGGTTGAGCTCCTCTTCAATTGTCCAACTAGAGAAATATTGTTGGGTTTGGTGGATCCATTGCGGACCCCACCCCACATCCATGTGAGATATTTAGTCATTTATTTGGTAGAAAATTTGGGACTTATAACATTTTTTTTATCCAAATTGTTCATTCTGTAAGGTTTGGTAAGAAAAATATTCATGCAAAAATTAGGTTGATTGAACATCAATACGTAAATGATCGAATTTCATTTGTCCTAAAAAACATAAACTGTTTATTTTCAAAAATATATTTGCAGCTCAATTTTATGATAAATTTGATTTGATTATGTGACTATCGATACTTGATCAACTTAATTTTTTGCATGAATTGTCTTATTGATGACCTTGCAAAATAATTATTTGAATCACCAAGAAGGGCTTTGGTGTGGGCTAATGCACCTAACAACACCTCTCCAATTCAATTAATTTGGAGTAGTTATGAGTCAATCCTATGAATCAGACTTATTTACCAATAAATCATGTTAATACATGAACAACTATCAAAATGATAAATTTCTTTCTCACCTACATCGATAGATTTAATAATCTAACAAATAAAGCTCACAACTACATATATAAACAAAAATAAAAGTGAATAAGTTACATTGATAAATTTCTTATTTATGAACTTATATGTTTATGAATTTTTTACTCAAGACTTTTATGAGTAATAAGTCCGATCAATAGGACTGATTAGTAATTATCCTATAAAAAATAAAAATAATATTGACAATGATGATGATAATAAATCTATTATGGGACTTAGATGTTTATTACTAGAGTAGTGACACACATGATACGAATGGACCTTTACCAAAAAGAAACCTGCTCCCATACAAAAACTTCCTATTGAGCAAACTCTTTCCTACGGCATGATATGATATAAAATCTATGAATGTATTGCGTGTTGAGCAGGGGATTCTAGAAAGTGGATGGATCATATAGATTACGAAATGAATAAATTACCAATAGGTTCTAATAGTTAGATTTAATTATCATTAAGTCCTATTGAAAATAAGTCTTGGTAAAATTGTCATTAAAAATAATTTTTTTGTGACAATTTTTTATAGGGGTATTTTTTTTAAGGTCCCTGATATTATGATTTTATAGTATAAAGGACATCAACTATTTTCATGATGTCTAAGGTCCCTGAGAGAGAGAGAGATGTGGGTGTTCCATCTGATCTCGCTACCTCTAACATTGGACATGGTGGTATTGACGCTGTGGTACTTCGCTGGACCATATGTGCCTCGCTACGTCCTCTTCACCGTCGGCTACACCTGGTTCTGCTCTATCTCTGTATGTATGTATATATGTACATGTCTGTGTGTGTGCGTGAGAGTAGACAAAAGGAAGGGGCAGAATTTCTCTGTGATAAATGAGAGGGACCTTAGACATCAAAAAATAATTTTGTGGATCTCTTCCATTATGAAAAGTGGGAGAGGGACCCTAGACCAATTTTCCCTTTTTTATATATATCGCTAAAAATTGACAATCAGTGACTTTTTTTGCCGAGATTTTTACAATTAGTGACGTTTTTTCATGACAAATTTTTTCCATAAGACCTATTAGATAATAAATTCATTTATTAAGACCTACACGTAAGTACCCCGAAATGAAAAATGTTGTACATAAATGTATTTGTTATCAAATTATTTTATAAATAGATAAAAAATAATGAATTTCACATAAATACATTAACGGGAACATTCTTACTTTTTATGCCTAGTAATAAGAGATCACATAAAAAATTGATTTAATTTCTGCTAAGTCAAATAATCTCACCCCTACCCCATTACTAATATGCCTAGTAATAATAGATTTAATATGCCTAGTAATAATCTCACCCCTACCCCATTACTAATAATCTTACAAATTTGTTGGATTAATTATCCATTAGATTAATAATCCTAAATCAAAATATTAAAACAAACATAGGATAATTAGGCTCACAGATTAATAATCCCAATCCTATACTCTAATCCACCCAATTAAACATGTCCTTAAAGCTTTAGAGAACCAGTCAACAGTAATACATGATTTCAAACTATTAATCAACCCTTGTCAATCCATTTGAATTAGCACTGTTCCGAGTTTTCGAGAAAAGCACCATTGCAGCACATTCATGCAACCACGGGTTTCGACTTCATAAGATGAATGCACTTGGAATGAAAATGCTTTAGATGCCACCTCTATCCATTTCTATTGACTGCCACCCACGCAGCAGCCACTCGTTCTGTCTCTTTGTGCCACGTACCATCCACCAAAAATACTTCATATGCTAGATCTATACACCATGAAACAACATTAGACATAACATGAAGGCCATGTTTGTTTGGATGGACATGAGCTTGGAATTGGACTAATAGTCCAATAAAATTATTAATCTCATATTTGGTTAAACAATTAAAGTACAGACTAATTATTTTAAACTTGACTATTAGTTAAGATAGGATACATAATCCAACGAATTCGTAATCCTAGGACTATTAGTCATGGGAATGCTAATCCAGTCCACCCAAACAAACATGGCCGAAAAACTCAAGTCGCCTCCGATCTCCTTTTTGGCCATTGTTTTGAAAGTCATATCAAGAAAAATTTTCAATCTCAAATTGTTAATCAATTGGATAGTGGAAAGTGGATCAACAATGTGGTTATCAGATACAACTCGATTTCTATGAACCCAAATACTCCAAAGAACTTTGATTGCTTCCATAATAGCACTCTCATCGAACGCATTGTGAAACCAAAAATCAATCAAATCCCCTACCCGTAATTCTTGCCCGATATCAAAATTAAGACCCAGCTTTGATCCAAACCATATCCTTTTGGAAAAACGAACACTAAAAGCACAAATGTTCCAATGTTTCATCATGTTCTTGACACCTTGGGCAAACCGAGTCTACCTTAACTCCTCATTTCCGAATAGCTACCTTAACTGGCACAATACGAGGAATTGACATTGGTAGGTTTCACAATATTTTTTCTACTTTTCTAAATGTCTTTTCAATTTTTTTTTTAAAAATAATTAAATATTTTCCAAAATAACTAAGACTCACTATTAAAAAATAGTTAAAAATCACACTTTGACAAATAAAAATATCTCACTTTTATTGAAAATGTGATAAAAAAATGAGATTGATATTAATTACACTTAATTTGATTAAGTGTGATAATATTTATTTTTTATGTCACCTTTTAATTAAGTGTGATTATACATATATTTTTTAATCACACATTCTAATTAACATGTCATTAAAAATTACATAAGAAAAATTAAAAATATCTCACTTTTATTAAAAGTGTGATTAAAAAAAATAAAATAATGTTTTAATCACACTTAATTTAATAAATGATATAATATTTTTTTTAATCAAACATTCTAAATAAGTGTGATTATATATATTTTACTACTCTCTCACACACATAATCAATTTCCAAATTAAACCCTAACACACCCAAGCCTCGTCTCAGCCTCGTCTCATCGTATTCAAAGGAGGAAAGCGAGAAAAGAGGGAGAATATAAGCCCCGCTTGTTTTGGGTTATAGGGAGGGTATTGGGACTAGTAATATCAAGGTATTACTAAAGCCCCTGTTTGTTTGCAGAGAAAGCCTTGGGACTATTAGTCCCTTGGTATTGCTAATACCCTTGGAAGGGGGATTGGTAAGGAGGAGGTAGAGATGGTATTAGAAAATAGTGAGGGGATTAGAAATTTTTTTATTTTTTATATATTGAGAATTTTTTTTAAATATAATGTTTAATTTTTTATATTTTTTTATTTGTTTTATTATTTTATATAAAAATAATTTAACAATTCCTAATTATTAATCCCCTCACTATTAATCCCCTCACTATCAATCCCCTCACTAACAATCCCCTCCATTCTATCTCCCAAAACAAACGGGGCCATAGAGGATTCGAAAGAGAATGGAAGGGAAGGGTAGGGTTTCAATCTCTCTCTCTCTCTCTCTGCACACTTCGACGGTACGACGAAACTGAGTCGGCAGCGGTGACAATCGACGGTATGCACTCATCTCTTCTCTTCTCATTCAACATCCAAATAGTAGACTTCAAGAGTCCAAATAGCATACCCAAACGATTGTCAAGCATGAGCTAGGCAGCGAATGGCAAGAACAGTAGAGGTGGTTGGCGTAGATGAGGCAGGGAGGGGCGTGGCCGTGGGTTTGTTAGGCGTGGCCGTAGGTTGAGGGTAGCCGGAGGGGGGGACTGGGTAGTAACTACCGGAGGGGGAGAACTTGACCAAACCCTAGTTTTCTGTTCGTTTGATGGGAGAGAATTCCAAGGAATCGGAGAAGGAATACTTTCACGCGCGCACACGCACACACACACACACACATATATATATATATATGTATGTATGTATACCTTCTTGCTATCGTAATTGGTTTATGATTTTGAACTTTGTTTTTGTTGTACATTACGATCAAATTTGGAATTGTGTAGGTT